AAAATTTAATTTACTATACTTTTAAAACTTAAACATATTAAGGCAAGATACCACACATGCTTTGGACAGTTTAAATTTTTTTCAACTAGTGTGGGTTTAGCACTAATTCTGATAGTAACACCATTTAGCTGTCTAACCTTAACGTTTTCAATCTCTACAGCCAACGGTTATCCGTTTATTGCGATGTGAAACATAGTACCCCCCCCCCCCCCCCCCATCAAATTTTCACACTACTACGCGGACAGCGGCTATCTATACTGCAATCTATTGGCCAAGCACTCGTGTAGACGGTGGTGTAGCGACCTTTTCTTTTGTTCTACAAATAAGTGGGATAAACGTTGTTTTCTACAAAGTAAAATTTTATGTCAAACTTCAAATAAGGACATGCGCGTAAAAAATAATAAATGGGAAGAGATTCATTGATACGCTTGACCAATCATATCAGAGGCGTAGCGAGGGGGGGGGGGGGCGGGGGGACGACATATGTCCCCGGGGGTGTAAATCAAAAGTTCGAGGGGGGTGCAAAACGAAAGTTTGAGGGGGGGGGGGGGGTTTGCAAATCGAAAGTTTGTCCCCGGGCGCTGGGAAGGGTCGCTACGCCTCTGAATCATATGTACAGTAAATCAAAATAATTCACGATAGGTTGCAACTAACCACGTGTGCTAGGCGGTGAAAGTTTTTGCTAGGAAAAAAAGTCACAGAAAAAAGTCACAAAGGAGAACAGTTTATCGGAAAAAAGTCACAGAAAAAGTCAGTTAAAAATTATTATTTTGATTTAATTGTTGATAATTGTAAAATGTGGGTGTTTATTACTGTGCGTGGTAATTTCGTTAATAGCATTATGGTCTATAACAATAAGTTAAAATACAGTTAGATAATTTACGAAGCTATCGCAATGAATAAACGTAGAAATGTATAGTTTGGTTTGAGAAATCTACATCTTTCATCAGCTTTTAAAAATGTCTTATGCGAACAAAATTATAGAGGTTTGAAAAGGTGTTAGTTTTCACACTTTTTCATGGTTTCCATGGCAACCTGTACTGCTATTGATGGGTATATATTATTTTTGTCTATGGATTAAATGTGTTAAATTTTTTAAAAATTATCCTTAAGCATACATATATTTATGGGTTACAAACAGTACAGCTATTATAAAATGAGCTAAGAAAATAATACAAAACCAAGCACGTAGGAGTGGGACCGACGGCCTTAGGGTTAGGGGTAGGGTTAGGGGTAGGGTTAGGCAACCCCCCGTGCGAAGCCAGGAAGAGAGTCAGAAGAGAGAGCGGGTTTTTTTGTGGGGTTTTATCCCCTTTTATGCTTTAAAATTGGCGGTGTGTCACGTGGACAATCTAGTCCACTAGAGAAGAGCCTGTGTGGTTGGCGAAAGATAAGAATGTACGTAGCTGGTGGGGGGTAATAACGCAGTTAGAGGGTGGTGGAAGAACACAATGGCCTAAACGGTTTTACTGTCACATCGGGTTAGGGTTAGGGGCTTTCGACGCCCTGGCGTACGGATGACACAAATCACAAGAGTATTTTACACTAAGGCACGGCTGGCCTCTATGTTTGATAATTAAACCAAACCAGGGGTAACCGATCACTCCCGCGAAGCTTCTGACACATAGGCGGTCGACGAAAGGTAAGAAACGAATACTCAATGCTTTCACACAGCACGCCCAAGGGCGTCTAAGCGGTAGTGTGGATAAAATTTCGCTCAAGCAACAGAGATCCGAAAAGAAATAGCAATGGCGTTGTTTACATTTCAACTATCTCAGATTTAGAAAACAAGGTCACACGACTAAAAAGACACAATTTGGTAACGCGTTGACGAAACCCTTACAAATTGGGTCAGTAACTTGGCCATCCTAAGCTTCGAACATACAGAAGCAGCTTAAATGGATGTCAAATAAATTTTTAATCATTTTGCAAAATTAAAAGCATGAAAAAAACACATCTGAATAAATAATAAGCAATCTGTTTTTTTTTTTTTAAATTGTGTTTGGCGTCACAAGGTCGGATGTTACCCTACGCATTTATTAAAGATGTCACCCCATCGTCCCAAGCATTTTTGCATTTTCGGTGGGGTGTCACCACTCTCACTATTTTAGCTGGATAAAACATACTTTTGACAGTCAATTTTACAACGTTTCATCATAGTGTCACGTCTAAACGTTGTCATCCGATGCGGACCGCACCGTGCCCCCCCCCCCCCCCCCCCGCCTTGTGACGCTATTGTGTTTGGTTACTTAAAAAAAAATATCATAAAAAACGTTTTAATAACAAGCTTCTATGTAATAATGCACTAAAAAGTAGAAAATAAATTATACACTACTATTTAAATAACTATAAAGAAAAGCGTGGGTCACTTTAGTATCTATTGGAAACCTTTACTAATATTTATAAAGAGACCCACGCTTTTCTTTATAGTAATTTAAATAGTAGTGGCTAATATTTAGGAAGAGACCCACGCTTTTCTTTATAGTTATTTAAATAGTAGTGTATAATTTATTTTCTTCATTTTAATGCATTATTACATAAAAGTTTGTTATTAAAACGTTTTTTATGAATTTTTTCCAGTACTTTACATGTTTTATTTACAATAGTTACATGACTAAAAACCATTGTCAAGTTTATAGCTAAAGTTTCAGAAAAGTATTATGGGATGGCGTAGTCTAGTGGTTAAGAATTAGACTGCTGACCCGACTAAAAACCATCGCGCGCCTATAGAACGTGGGGAGCCGGACGTTTTCCCGCAAGACACTTGCCCGAATGCCGTTTGCCCGAAGGCCGATTTCCCGAATGGACACTTGCCCGAATGCGACAAACGCCCGAATGGACACTTGCCCGAATGCGACAAACGCCCGAATGGACACTTGCCCGAATGCGACAAATGCCCGAATGGACACTTGCCCGAATGCGACAAATGCCCGAATGGACACTTGCCCGAATGGGACAAATGCCCGAATGGACACTTGCCCGAATGCGACAAATGCCCGAATGCCACTTGCCCGAAGGCCGTTTGCCCGAAAAATGTTAGTATTAGATAATAAATAATATTTCCAAATAGACATTCTTTAATCAATTTAAGTTTGAAATTTTTATTAAAAACACAATTCTAAGCATAAAACAAAGTTGTTTATATGTTTAAATTTAGCTTTTTTTTTCAAAACTGAGAAAGCGCTGTAAGAAAAACTTTATTCTTTAATAAATTGTGGGTGATGTTGGCGGAGGTTTTTAACATTCTTTTGATAAATGTTTTGAGCACCTTGTTTAGCCGACGTGTTGCGGTGGTTATATAGGTTTTATGACACGGCGTGGGCGCGCGGCGTCTCGCAACATTGAACAGAGGAACGTTTGTTTGTTTATCTTATTATGCTAAACTTGTGTGGTGATCATTTAACAAAAGAATGAGGCTAGGTCGAGGTGGCGATTTTAAAAACTAAAGGTAGCCAAATATGTTTGATCTCCATTTAATGCGCCTTTTTAAGACAAAGTGTTGAAACGATTACATAATCAAGAAAGCAAAACTCATTTTAAAATCCGGAGATGAATGAAAATTGTATTTTTGTTTAATTTCATATGGAAGAGAAAGTATTTTTCTACACTTTTTAAATATCAAATACAAATTAATTTAAAATGTCTGCGTGGTAATATAGATATTTTTTTTTCACTTTTTTTGCGTAGATGTGTTTTGTTTACCAACATTTTAAATTTAAATTGATTACGAATGATTATTTAGTAATATATAATGTTAACATTTTTCGGGCAAACGGCCTTCGGGCAAGTGGCATTCGGGCATTTGTCGCATTCGGGCAAGTGTCCATTCGGGCATTTGTTCCATTCGGGCAAGTGTCCATTCGGGCATTTGTCGCATTCGGGCAAGTGTCCATTCGGGAAATCGGCCTTCGGGCAAACGGCATTCGGGCAAGTGTCTTTCGGGAATTTGTCGTAGACCCAGAACGTGATGACGCATTTTTGTCGTAGAGCCCCCCCCCCCCCCCACTCTCGTTCCACGCCCAACACTGCCTACTAATTCGGTCCAAATTTTAATTAATTCATAAAAAATTAATTAGGCGACCAATTAAGTCAAATTGAATGTCACGATGCATTGTCTTCATGTCTTGACCCACGTACCAACTACGAACCGTATCTGTCAGTTAGAAGTGCCTGCAATTTCACACGGGCGTTTCGATCTAGACAGACTGACGACAGACAGGAAGTGAGTTAAATAAAAGCTTGTAAAAAGACAAAAAATTAACCGTAAGCCTGTAACATTTTTACAAAGCTACGGGGTACTAGGCCAACATAATAACATACAATAGATTATCAAGACGTATAAAATACAAAATGTACAGAATATTTATATTATTTACTTTCGTAAGTAGCAGTTGATTTCTTCGTTTAGCTCCATTTTAGCCTAACGCCTGAAGAAAGGGGCCGACTGATAATTTTTGCATAGGGGCCCGAAAATCCTAGCTACGCCACAGACACACACACACACACACACACATCCACACACACAGACATACGGACAAAATTGCAAAGCCCAGTTTTTCCGACTATATGACGCATAAGACGCCGAGATTTTGATAAACTTGGATTTATAATTTTTGCCCGATTAAAATAAGTCCCCTATACTCCGTATATGATGAAGTACCGAGAAGTAAAACGGTGAAAATGTCAAAAATTCATGTAATTTTTGTGTACGAGAAAGTAATAAGACAATTTTGGTCGTAAAACTATACATGGTCACGTCCAATAAAATACTTATTTATCTACACTGATGAGTTTAAAAATATCCTGAAATGTATAACTACTGAATTACGTAATTACCTACCTAATTACCTAAAGTAAATTATGTAACTATTGCAATAAAATACCTAGTCACCTGGGCTAACGTGATTAATTATTGCTCTAAAAGACCAAATGGCCTGAATTAAATGACCTAATGACTAGACTTAAAGCCCTACCAGACATCAATGACTTGACCTACTGACCTGCATTGTCCATAGTGAGGTGTTTGTGACTACTTTGACATCAGGGAACAGCTTCCAACTGAGCAGACGAGGTGAGGGGAGGTAAGTCCCACCAACGACGCTATATATCCGAGGGGTGTTAATACCTAGCAGCAGAAAAGTAGAGCTTACATAATTCATAGAAATAAACAAGTTACATTGGGCAGATGAAGAAGAATTCATTTGTTTCTTGATCTTGGCATATGAACGGAAGGTGTAGTCAGCACTTTGCCCAGCCGTGTTTAGTTTCCCTGACATGGGTTAGGTACCTTCAAAGCTGGGTGGACTCAGGGACGTTCTACTGACTTGGACCAAGATTCGAACTCGAGACTTTTGGGTTAGCTAGACCACACCGTTCCGTGGTAGTCAACAAGAACTTACATTTTGTTCAAAAGTCAAAAGAAGGAAGTATTCAAGATAAAAAGTGGGGGGCGTATCAAAATTAAACTCACTTATACATTTTAATGTATATTTATATTTGCCTTTGAAAAAAATGGTGAAGTAAAATAAATACTTTTCAACTTGAGGTATATAAATATGATTTATAAATGCGATTATATCAATGTAATGAATATCAATGTGATATATATATATATATCAATGTGATATACATCAATGTGATATAATCAATTTGATGTATATCAATGTGATGTATATCAATGTGATGTATATGCTAGCCACTTACCTTTATCATCCATATAGTGTGGTTGCAAGTAGCGTTTATTGGGCTGTAGAGCGCTGCCATAGTCCATTGGGTGATTACATTTGCCGTCGATTTGTCGGTAGGTCCTGTCCAGATTGGTTTTTTGTGAGCACGGCTAAGGGGGAGCACATGTAAATATTGTCAAACGATTGGAACAGAAAGTTATTCCAACACAGCTTTTAAGATTAGACCTTTTATTCCAACACAGCTTTTAAGATTAGCCCTTTTATTCCAACACAGCTTTTGAGGTTAGCCCTTTATTCCAACACAGCTTTTGAGGTTAGCCCTTTATTCCAACACAGCTTTTAAGATTAGCCCTTTTATTCCAACACAGCTTTTGTGGTTAGCCCTTTTATTCCAACACAGCTTTTAAGATTAGCCCTTTTATTCCAACACAGCTTTTAAGATTAGCCCTTTTATTCCATCACAGATTTTAAGATTAGCCCTTTTATTCCAACACAGCTTTTAAGATTAGCCCTTTTATTCCAACACAGCTTTTAAGATTAGCCCTTTTATTCCAATCCAACACAGCTTTTAAGATTAGCCCTTTTATTCCAACACAGCTTTTGAGGTTAGCCCTTTATTCCAACACAGCTTTTAAGATTAGACCTTTTATTCCAACACAGCTTTTAAGATTAGCCCTTTTATTCCAACACAGCTTTTGAGGTTAGCCCTTTATTCCAACACAGCTTTTAAGATTAGATCTTTTATTCCAACACAGCTTTTAAGATTAGCCCTTTTATTCCAACACAGCTTTTGTGGTTAGCCCTTTTATTCCAACACAGCTTTTAAGATTAGCCCTTTTATTCCAACACAGCTTTTGAGGTTAGCCCTTTATTCCAACACAGCTTTTAAGATTAGCCCTTTTATTCCAACACAGCTTTTGAGGTTAGCCCTTTATTCCAACACAGCTTTTAAGATTAGATCTTTTATTCCAACACAGCTTTTAAGATTAGCCCTTTTATTCCAACACAGCTTTTGTGGTTAGCCCTTTTATTCCAACACAGCTTTTAAGATTAGCCCTTTTATTCCAACACAGCTTTTAAGATTAGCCCTTTTATTCCAACACAGCTTTTAAGATTAGCCCTTTTATTCCAACACAGCTTTTAAGATTAGCCCTTTTATTCCATCACAGATTTTAAGATTAGATCTTTTATTCCAACACAGCTTTTAAGATTAGCCCTTTTATTCCAACACAGCTTTTAAGATTAGCCCTTTTATTCCATCACAGATTTTAAGATTAGCCCTTTTATTCCAACATAGCTTTTAAGATTAGCCCATTCCCTATTTTATTCTTTTCGGTTAAAGGCATTAACGACTTTACAATGGTTTTATGAGTTTGAATTTACAGGGTGTTAAGTTTATTTAGTTAGATTGTGATGGGATAGAGATAAGATTATCTAGTGAGATAGAGATAAGATTATCTAGTGAGATAGAGATGAGATTATCTAGTGAGGGAGAGGTGACGCTATCATGTAAGTTTAGTAAAGTTGTGATTTAAGTACAGGATAAATAAACCGGGAGTGATTTCCCCTAAACTTTCTCGAATATTTTTATATAAAACAACAGGGGATGGCTTCTCGGGATATAGACATGATTTTTAATCCATTTTAAATACTTACACTTTTTAAAATAGAATAAAATATCGTAGAAAAAAGAATTGCACACCAAGTGAACGCCAAATAAAATGTGCATAATAGTGCGGAATATTATTAGTACTTTATAAATTCACATGCGTTTTTTGAGAAATCGAAAATTACTACTTCCGGTCAACAGAAATTACTCAGAATTTGTCAGAAG